AAATCACAATATAAAGTTAATTATGATGAAGACGACCAGAGAAGGGAGGGTACTACATATGATGACCATCATTTCCTTCGTTTTGTCATTTATCTTTAGAGTGATCAATTATTTGAATCAGCAGATTAGCTCATTGTTTATGCAAATCATCACCCTTAAAACTTCCTTTGGTTATAACTCACCTAACCAACTAGTTTTCTCGTGCTTTTTTATGCTTGAGTGCAATATACGCGACTGTATGTTCATGTAATTTGCATAAGATACAACAAAAGATCATAACTAACTGAGTCAGTGTGAATGATGGAATCTTTTCAAATCAAAGTAACAATTTAGATTAAGCTCATTTAATCCATCAAGTGAAGGGCCTCAGCCATTGCAAAAGTTTGCATATTACATAGCTTGAATTATTATTGGTCGACTAGCCGCACATTTTGCTTCTTTTTTTTGATAGAGAAGACAGTGAAATTTTTTTAATCTAATGATTAGATTTCATAATCGCATTTGTTGTTGTATCTGTCTTCGATTAAAATTGTCTATATGTATGTCTTAATATTTTATGAATGAATTCTATAATGGTAGAAGATTGTGCATGATCATTGGTTAATAAATTTATACAGTTTGTATTCGTAATGTATTCCCTATTTATCAAGCTTTGACTGTTTCTTCTCTGATTGCATCTTTTCGAAACCTTGTGTCTTACTCAGGTTGCCATTTAAGTCATGTAATAGAGTCAACAAGAAGCTTATTCCGCCTTTGTTTTTACTCTTATATCGAATCATAAGCAACCAAAAAGGATCCTACTTTCGTCATGACATTAATTACCTCTGAACAGGTTATTCTTCAGTCTCTAATCTTTTTCTTTTGACAAAATCCCACGTAATCTAAATCGAAGAAAATTTCAAACCAAAAAGGAATTTGGGGGGGAGGGGAGGGTGGGACCATAACCCACTCTAGGTTTTGCTACACAACAATGGTGATGATTTGCACACGAAAGAATGACTCATTCCATATCTAACAAAAATATGAATCTGCCGTTTGATGACTTAAGGACAAATGAATTTGGTAAGAAAATGACCTTTTTCATTGTGATGAATCAAAGCAAAGAAAGAATAGAACTTTCTTCTTCAATTTTTAAGTACAATTCCTTTGGCTTTGAGAAGATTATGATCCTTATTCTGATCTGATCAATAATATTCAAACAATAGGAAGTAAGCCAAAGACAAAAGAAAAGACAATTAGGTATCACTTTGTAATCTCAGCCATTATTCATAGATTTAAAGTCGTTTACATTGCTGTAGCAATCTCATTATTCTATTGATGCATTGACTTGAGAGATTGTTGGGAATCTCTTTAATTAATTAGTTGTTAGCATCAGAAACCTTCTCTTGTAAACCTCGGAGACTACTTTGTAGTTTCAACTAAGTTATGTTACATTGTGTTATCGAAATCTAAAACGAAGATTTCCGAGATTTACAATGTTAATTTACTGCCCAATTACTACACATACATGCATGTTGGTGTTTGATATGGTTCTGATTAGGGTTTTCTCAAACTTTCTTCCCCGGACTGGCTTCTAGATATTAATTAAGAAAACTAACGACTTTGATTCAGCTCGAGATTCATGTCTTGATTGTGTATTACGCTAAACAAATGGTTAGACTAATTATCTTATGTTCATGAAGTCATGACATATTGAAAAAAGAAGAAGGGAGGGTGAAAAGAAGTGAAATTGAAGAAAAATTCGAGTGCAATTGAACGGGGAATTAGTCATTGATGGAGAAAAGAAATCAAAATGACAATGCAAAATTTCAAATGCAGGTAACATCTAGGAAGAAAGTTGGTTCTTGAAATACATATATGAGGGGATGACTTGGTCGTGGGGAGCATTAATTAAACTACAGATGAAATGTTTCTAAAAGAATATATTATCACTTGTTTGAATTGAACCACCATGGCATTGTTTCTAATGCTTTCAATTATTCTTGTTTGACTCGGAAATTCATATGAAACTAAGTGCCTTGCTAGTTAAGTTATGCACCAAAAAGTCCACAAATAAATTCACTTGTGAAATTGTAAATTCACGTGTGAATACAGAACCTAACAGACAAAATAAGATGGAAAGATTGTTGACACATAAGACTGGATAAAATTGAAAGCTTATGAATTATTCTTGCTTTCTTGAGAAATTTTGATCAACAACTATACATACTATATATAGCTAGTCATAGCTTTTATATTTTGTCAAGGAAATAATGAGTTCTCTTGTATGTTAGTCAAGATCTTTGTTCTTATTTTCTTCTCTCCAAAGGCTAGCCAAATTGTATGAAACTTTGGAGATGTGCCAATGAAAACCCCTCCTTCTTTTCAGATGGAAACACATAAAATTTCCTATATGGCAGAAGTCATGGTGTTTTTGGACTGGTTTCTTATTGGAAAAATAAGAATGGGACGACCAAAGCCTTAATTTGCTTTCAGATTGCCTTTCTAAGAGGGGATAACAACCATTACATCACCTGAAACCGAGCATTTGACTCAGTTTGGTTGGTGCATGATTTTTTTTCTCAAAAAGCACAGTTGGAATCCTCATTTCTCATATTAAAAACAAAAATCCATTAGGTTGCCTTTCACATGTAAACTTAAAAATCCGAATCGATGATATTTGCTATGACTATATTGTCTCTCGAAAACACATGAATAAGTCATATATATTACATGGAATTCATCATCAACCGATTTTATGATATGTTTGCTTCTGCTACATATATTTATATATAGATTTGTAGTATAAAGAAAAAACCCAGGTGAAAAGTCAAGGAGAAATGGCCTGCATGTCGGATGGTTGGTAATGTCCTGTCATAAGAATCAAGTTATCATCACTGGTTCGAAGGATCATGTTTCATTTCTTTTCTCTTCGATCCCTGTCATTGGTTATCTGGGGAGTTGCCATATGTCAACTTAGCATGCAGTTGTAAGAGAAGAGCATCAAAAAAATTGCAGCTGTTGATAAAATCGTAAACTTTGTTCATTCTTTTATCAGGAAAAACCTTGAATATCAGGCCACAATTTTATTAAATTAGTAGCTAGCTTAATGTTCTCCATGAACAAAGACAATAAATTGTGGAATATTCCCGTTTGCACGGTCCCATGTTTGATGTGGTTTTGTTTTTTGGGGTCCGATGCTTGTTTGTTAGGACACATTCAAACGGTTCTACCAATGTAATATCAATTTATTCTTGCTTATTCCTTCGGTAACTCATTCAACTCTTACTATCACAATTTTTTATTCCTCAACTTTTTTGTATTTTTCAATAAATCCAGGAACAAGATGCCGCATCAAGAATTCAAGAGATTAATTTATATTTTTTTTATTACTCCATATAATATAAAAATACATTGAAACAAGTGGAGGAAGAAGTGTACTATTTTGGGTCAGGTACTTACTACTGTAATAATTTTAACCATTTGTATATACAATTGCAGATCCAGATTTTTTTTTTTCTTTTGGTGTTTACTTATGTAAATATAAATATAAATATAAATATATATTTATATATATTATCTAAGTGTTTTAACAATTTTGTTAATGAAAATGTTGTTCATGGGAAAAATTTGAGAAAATTTTGAGGGTCTTCAAAAAAAATTTTCTTTTAGATTTCCTTATTTTCTAATCTTTGGGGTGTTTGGAAAAAGTTTCTTTAAAATTTCCTTATTTTTCAATTTCTGGAGTGTATGAACACTCCATCTCAAACATTAGATCCAACCTTGCCTCTGTGTGAATGTGTATATATATATATATATATATATATCCCTAATCTCCAACTTAATTATGATAATTATGCTCTTCTATTCATAAAAAGAATTTTTAGTTTGAGAATTTAACATGAAGATTTGTGTAAAATTAATATTTTCGATTATAATTAAATATCAAATTTCAAAACATGTAATTATTCGGTATATATATGCTCAAAAATTAATCTTACGATTTTCGAATGATATTTGAAGTCACTTTTCTAAAACAAATTAATCATTTGTTTTTCTACCATTTTGAAAAAGTGAGGTATGAACTCCATGCAACTACAATCACAATTAAATTTAACACGCACAACAAACATTTGATTCCAAATTTCTTGTTAGTTTCATCAATTGTTAGATCTAGCTGCCTCTAAGAAATAATAGCTTGGATTGTAGATATTGACTTTGAAAGAGTAGTTTTGACAAATTTTCTTTCCTTTTTTCAAGGGGAATCCCAAATATTGCAATTAATACATAGTAAAAGAAGAATAGTAAAACAAGATTTGGTTTACCAAGACAGATACAAGTATACGTATTGGCATTGGCATCAATCTAGAAAGAAAAGGTGTGGAAAAGTCTCTTCAAGGGGCGGTAGATTTATTAGATTCCCCCATTTTCCCCGCTGTTTTTGTCAACTTCAATATGGCATCTTTCAATCCCTTCACTACAAACGAATTGGACTCCAACTCATAGCTTTTCCTAAAGCATATCACAAATTTTTCGCTTGAGAAAATCCATATGTTTTCTTGACTTAAGATACAGATTCTTGACTATATATATAAAAAATCACTTGAACTTTCAATTTATTGAATATTACTTTTCAAATGTAATTACATGAATCAATTGAACTAACTAATTCTAGTTTCACCCCTTCTTTTCTTAATTACATATCTCTCAAATCCAGTTGTAAGGAAAAAATTGAAAAAGAATATCTCCAATCTCTCTCTCTCTTTCTCTCTCTCTCTCTCTCTCTCTCTCTCTCTCTCTCTCTCTCTCTCTCTTGTTGTATATATTAATCTTTGGTTCCTTTCACATGTAATGACACATGCAATGGAATTTTTATGAGTTATTCCCATGATACTCTCCTCATAAAAGCCTATCCTAGTTCATGTCTCTCTTGTCATAATTAAATTTATACTTGTTCTCCATCTCTTTGATCTTAATTTGTTTCTCTACCTTTCTTGATTCTTGAAGTGATATAGCATATCATGGAAGATACAGATGAGAAGGAGCTTTTGAATCTCAGCCTGGCAATTGTGACAGATCCTGGGGGCGAAAAGAATAATAGAAAAAGGAAGAGATTTGTTAATGTTTGCAAGGATTTGAACCCGTCGTATGAAGGTTCTGAAGGGAAGATATTCAAGCTTCTCCAAGTGAGGGAAGAGATGTTAAAGCTCGATCACAAGAGAAAAGGTGTGGTTGAAGATGGGAAGGGCCTTCATTTGATCCATTTGCTGCTCATCACTGTCACTTCAGTTGATGAGAATAATAATGAAAACTCAGCCTTGGAGAATCTCATCCAACTGTATCAAAATGTGTCATTGATGGGAGATTCGGTGCAACGAGTTGTTGCTTATTTCGCTGATGGCTTGGCCGCAAGGCTTCTCACTCGAAAATCCCCTTTCTATGACATGATCATGAAGGAACCTACTACTGAAGAAGAGTTTTTAGCTTTCACTTGTCTTTACAGGGTGTCTCCTTATTACCAGTTTGCTCATTTCACAGCTAACCAAGCTATAATTGAAGCCTTTGAGAAAGAGGAAGAGATAAATAATGGAGCATTGCATGTTATTGACTTTGATGTCTCTTATGGCTTTCAATGGCCTTCTCTCATTCAATCTCTTTCCGAAAAGGCATCTAGTGGCAACCGGATGTCCCTTCGTCTTACAGGCTATGGGAGAAGCTTGGACGAACTACAAGAAACTGAGGCTAGATTAGTGAGCTTTGCCAAAGGGTTTCGCAATCTGGTCTTTGAATTTCAAGGGTTGTTGAGAGGATCCAAGGTGAATAACCTGAGGAAAAAAAAAAATGAAACAGTTGCTGTGAATCTAGTTTTTCATTTGAATACTTTGAACAACTTTCTCAGAATATCTGACACATTGAAATCAGTACACTCACTTAGGCCTTCCATTGTTATCTTGGTGGAGCAAGAAGGTAGTCGAAGCCCAAGAAGCTTCTTATCAAGATTTATGGAATCTTTACATTATTTTGCGGCCATGTTTGATTCATTGGATGATTGCCTCCCACTGGAGAGTGCCGAGAGGCTAAGCATTGAGAAAAATCATCTTGGGAAACAGATCAAAAGCATGATTAATTGCTGTGACAAGGAAGATCAGGAGAACAAGAAGTCATCATGTCCAAGGTATGAAAAGATGGAAACATGGAAAAGCAGGATGGAGAGTAATGGATTTGAAGGGATGAAACTGAGTTCCAAGTGTTTGATACAGGCTAAACTTCTGTTGAAAATAAGGACTCATTACTGCCGTCTTCAATGTGAAGGAGAGAATAATGGTGGGTTTAGAGTTTTTGAAAGAGATGAAGGAAAGGCTCTTTCTTTAGGGTGGCAAGATAGGTGCTTGCTTACAGCCTCTGCATGGCAATGTGTATGAATATGATTGAAAAGATTTAATTTCTAACACATTCATATCATTCTTAATTTGTCTGTAACCGAATTAATTTGTTCAAATAAACTGTTAATGGACTCTGATCCCCTTTTTATTTTCATCAATAAACTGTTAATGCTAGTATTTCTTTTCCTTGTTTTCTAGCATTTCTTTGTCATAAACCGCATACATGGCCTCAAGGGCTGAAGCTCAAGTTATCATCAATAGTGATTGACTTGAACCTTACATGAGCCTCAAAAACCATTTTATGAACCAAGAAACATTATTTGTTTTTAATTCATCAGCTACTAAAGCCACTTTGATGGATAATTTTTTTAAGGTAAATTAAAACTATTCAGGATTTACTATACATTAAATAGTAAATTTAGTTGTGGCCAAAAATTTTGAAATTATGCCTCTAGATAAAGCTCAAAGAGTTCCCATTGGTACTTGTACAGTATATTTGTTGTTTATTTTGTTGTTGAGATTAATATTAATTTTACTAATTGTTTATGTCAAGTATTTTCAATAGTAAATATCTTGAAGACTCATTTACATAATCAAATCGAAAATCAATGATTGAATAATAATTTAATTGTGTATATTAAAAAAAATATGTTCAAAAATATTGATTACAAAATTGTTGTGCAACATTTTCAAAATATAAAATCACGCTAAAAACAATTGCATATGAAATATTATTATTATTATTATTATTATTATTATATTTGAATTAAGCTTCCATTAAATAAAATTTTTTATTCTGTCTTTAATTGTTAATTAGGATTTTGAATTTTTTTTTTTTTTAAAGATAGGATTAACTTGATTGAACAAAAAGAAAAAAAAAATTGATGGCTCATTTGTAGACTTGTTATGGATCAAGTTGTATTGAATTTGGGTCGGGTGTAAAAAAACCATTAGTGAGCTTCCGGCTTATCCAGGCTCAACATTAAATATGGGTCTCATTTTAATGCCTTGACTTATCCTAGTTTTAGAAGACGCTGTGTAGGTTCGTTTAAATATGTCTAGATTTCATTTTTAAAAAAAATAAAAATAAATTGTATAATAAATATTAACTATGATAACATAAATAATCAGTAAAATAAAACCTAAAAATGATTTTGATAATTTAATTTGATGTTTAGATGAGATTGGTACATGTAAACATAAGATATTAATATATATATATATATATAATATTATTTTATTATTTATTTATTACTTGGATCTTCAATATCATGTCCAAAGGCGTCGTCCATTTTTTAAATGGACCTAAAATTCAAACATAAACCCATATAATAGATATAAAATTCATATATAATCTTCCTAACTTTTGAGCAAGATTTCAAATTAAAGTGAAATATAACATATACATATCATGTCCAAAACTTGATCTATTTTTTAAATAAGCATAAAATTCAATTATAAATGTCTACCCATTTAACAAATCTAAAATTTGTCTAATTCTTCTCAAATTTCGAACAAAATTTTGGGGTGGATCCTTGAACAGGGTCTATTCATTTAATAAAATTTTGTTTTTTATTTCCTTTTCTTCCCATTTTCTTTCGCTTTACCACCACGTAAGCTTCGCTAAGGACGTAGACGTACTTGAACTAAACTATCAAGGATATTTTCGTCAATTCATCATATAAATCCAGAGCAACCGCAACTCTGCTTTGTTCTTCGTCTAAACTCCGGACAGAAACTCAAATGATGAATATATAAAAGCAAAGACTCCGCCAATCTTATCGTCATTTACTGACCGTCTGATCTAAACTTTTGAGATCTGAATCTGATTAAAACAAAAAAGAAAGGCAATGGAAGAGCTGAGATCAGCAGTGGAAGGGCACATGGAATTAATGGCGGATCTGGTTCAGAACCTATCCTCGGAGCTTCGTTCGGGCCTCCGACCCGCCTACGAGAACTTCATCGGGTTCTTCCACGCCATCGACTGGAAAGTCCGCCTCCTTTCTCTTTTTTTTTTTTCCTCTTTATTATTTTCTAATTGTTTCCCCAGAAAATTTAAATCTTTGAAAATGTGTTTTCTTTTTATTGTTTTCTCTTCAGAATTTTCTCACTAACTAAACAGGATGTTTCTAAAATGTTACTGTTGTTTAAGAAGTAAAATTTGAGAGGAAACTGTTTAAAAAGTTTTTTCATTTGGAAGCATGTAATTTGATTAATATCAAATTTTCTTTTGGCACTAATGATTTGGGTGATAATGCTGATTGCATCAATTAATGCTAAGCCCACGTTTAAACTGGTAATATTGGGTTAGACGGGCTTTCTTTATCTGATTTGCTTGGTGTAAAGACAGTTTCTTGAGTCAGATCCGTTGCTGCTCTATGCTGATGTTGTTATGTGGTTAGCGAACTAAAGATGTCATGCATGGTTGATGAGTTTAACATGTGATACTTTGATCTTTGTTAATTTTTAACTTATTAGTTCAGCTATTTCTAACAGACTAATGGAAAGTTGGAAACTCTTCAAATGGGGTGCTTAAAGCCATAAATATCTTCTTTTAGATGACTTGTTGTTTAGCATCAAGTCTTAGGCATAATCCTTATGTTCATTATGGAGACATTGTTATATGCTTTTCTAATAATGTTATAATCCTTTTGTTTTGTGTTGTTAGAGAGACGGGGGGGCGCAAATTTTGACATGATCCCACTTTAGTTCTTGATCCACCATCTATTGATAACAATTCCCTGACCTTTTTTTTCTTTTTTCCTTTTTTTGGCAGGAACCATGGTTAATGGGCTTACTGGCATTCCATGTTTTCTTACTGATAATAACAATATTCTCCAGGAAGAATACTAACTTCCAGATGTGTTTGTTCCTTCTGGCATGTAAGTTCTTTTTTTTTCCTTTTTTTTTTTTTGTCATCTGTAATCATCACCAGTATATGAGTATTTAGATCTCTCCTTGATTATAGTAGTTTGTTTCTGATCATATCTATTACATGCTTTATTTAAATGTGAAGGTTCACAAATAAACTGTCTTTTTGTGGTTGAATGATTAAGGACATATGTAATATTGCCTGTTAATATATCATGATGACTTTGCCGTCTGATCATGGTTGGCTCAATAGTTTGGCAGTTAACCTTGCCTCAGGTGGTAGAGTTTCCATGATATTGAATAGAACTTAACAGCTTCACTGTATTTACTAGTTCCACCTTCTCTCAATTAGCAATGTTTCCTTGAGCCCACCTCTCCCTTGAATAAGTAAAATGTACAAGGTTATTGAAATTTCTGATGAATAATGATGTCTCAATTACACTTTTGTCTTACTGCAAAAGGTGATTTGGATGCTTGCAATCTTATATTTCAGAGGTGAGAAGGATACATGCTGGTGCTTGTATTTGATACATATACTCTACATTAGAGGAATGAGGTGATAATTTGCAGATCTTACTAGTCCCATCAATATCCAGTGGTTAAGATGCATAAGGAATAGGCTGAAACAAATTTATTATGCAGCAAAAGATGGTTCTCTCATTCTAGAGCAGGCTTAAATATTTTGGAGGTCCCATTTCACATCATAGGAATTTTGTTAATAGTTGCATGACAAGTTGATGATTTTCAAATAGAAGCTTAGTCTTTGAGAAGGTATAAATGGAATGGATAATGTTTACCAGAAAGAACTCTGAATAGATTTCAAATAATAATAGTAAATGGCTTCACAAGCAAAAAATAACCCATGTTCATCTTTGCATGTGAGAGTATGTACACTTCCTTCAATGTCTGCTCATAGCAACCTAGAACTGTAACCTTGATAGTCAACTATGTTGATATGGGATATAAAGTAGCAACCTTCCTTACAAGTTAATGTTTAATCATTGCCAAAGATGTCGGGCTCTTTGCTTCAAGGGGATCCAAGAAATAGGACTTTCAATTTCAGAATTCATTTTAAAATTTCTGTAGTGAAGCCAATCGTAGAGTCAATAAGTAGAAAAAAAAAAAAGTTGAAATTTGGAACATGGTCATGAATATAGATGGATTTAAGTCTATAAAGCCTTACTGCAGCCATGCATGGAGTCAATAAATTAGAAACACAGCTGAAACTTTGTGATGAAGACCATCTTGCCATTGAAGGGAGTTTACATTTGTAGGCCAATAAACTACACACCTGTCAATAAACTACACACCTGTTCTGCAGACAGTTTACATTTGTAGGTTACAAGTCTAATATATTTATTTACCATTTTTACAGTTTGCTGGGAATTTTGATTGATTATCTTACTAAATAGGACTTACCTGAGTACCCTGCTGTAACTCAATATTGAAGCCTTTCAATGTCATCAAGCATTCCAAATATTTAGCGGGATCCAAATGACTTCGGCATAAGAAGACATCACCATTGTTTCCTTTCTAGCAAATTAGTCAGTACTGTGTTACATGCATCACCAAACATTTATGCAATGTGAAAATAATATTGAAGTTCAGTTTATTTTGAATATTCTTTGCCATTCTAGCTTATTTGCTTGATGATGTCTTTGTAGTGCTTGGTGTATATTTTGCTGAGTCCCTGAATAGATTCCTTGGTGACAACTGGAAGAAATTTGCAGCCCAAAACTATTTTGATCCAAGTGGACTTTTTTTATCGGTACTCTGGTCTGGGCCTCTTCTCACTATTGCAATCATCATCTTGGTCAGTGTTCAGGAACTCCTCCTATCCCCCCTTTTTTGAAACATTTTTTTTCCTTTCTCTAAACCCCAACTTCTGCTACTTTCTGCAGATAAACACACTCTTTTCCATGTGTTACCTAATAGTTAGATGGAAAAAGGCTGAGCTCAGACACCGTGCAAGGCTTTCTCGTAACAAGCAGGATTGAAATTACCTGGTGCTGCATTGCTGCCTCTTTTAGTTCGATAAGCATGTGTAATACTTGTTAACCTCGTTTATGAACCTTGTTCTTGTTCTTTACTTCTTATATTCAGAGGTACTTATAGCATTTTTTGTTCTTTACTTCTTTTCATATGTATAATTGTTCCCTTGCATCAAGGTCTCCTTTTAGGATGTGTCATGTGGTGCAAGATAAATTTTCCATTTCTATTTTATCCATAGGTAATTTTATTTGTGTAAACATTAGATGGAAAGGCTATTTGCTCTAGCTTTGTGTACCATTCTAGTTCTAAATTCAGCAAAATATTCAGCTAGCTTTTTTTCCCATAAATGCTTACTGTTCAGGATAGATATATAGAAGTCAAGTACTACTCATAATCAGTACCAAGTGGCTAGTAACCAAAATCCTAATATCTTGCAAAGCAAGTCAAGCATGAGATGGTAAATGATAATTATTCACATAATCATGCACTGAGGTTCATTGGCATAAAAGTAGGTGGCAATGGATAAGACTGGTAGTAGTATTGATGATCTGGAGCCCATTGAAATCTGTTGGATGAAATGAAAAGAACGAAGGGAGATTTTCTTGATCAGATATGAAAGAAAGAATCCTTTAATGGGGAAAAGATGATTGGCATAGGACATCATCCTTTTCTAACATCGAAAGTATCAGTCATGTCTGGTGTTTGGTCCACACGGCTTTGGATGTTGGAAAGGAACTTGTTTTCACCATCATAGGCGGCACATAGATTCCTAGCCAAAGCCAACCCACAAATGATAGTGAAAGTTGTGTCAAAAGCCAAAAATTTTGCTGGCTATAGGAGGTCCTAATCGGCATGAGAACAGGAAAAAAAGTTGCAAATGTTAAAGATTCAAACTCTTAAGCTGCTCAATATCTCTTAAAAATGATTACATGAATCAAATCAGATAAAGGCTTTATGTGCTATACAATTATTGAGGCAAAGTTTGTAATGCTTGGATATAAAAACATGACAATGAAGGCCAAACCGATGATTGACTTGACCCTAAATCAGGTGTAGGGCGGGGAATATTAAACTAAATTAAAAGAGCAGGAGAAGGTGATCTGTCCATAGCTAACTTCTCTGAACTGCTTGGTAGGAAATCAATACCAGAAGCATATGAAGATGGGTTGAAACTTATGACTTGATGTTTCAAGTCTTGAACATTGAAATAAGACGGTGACATTTATGACATAAGAGATCAAAATCTACAAAAAGAAATATTAAGCTCCATAAATCAAGTAAAAACAAATGAAAACTGTATTATATGTTTATAAATACTACAGGAAACAGTAGGATATGTTGGATGAATGTACCTAAAATTTACACCAAAGACAGTATAAGCTTGCAGTTGTATTATAAGCTTGTAGTTATGATTATGGCTTCAGCATGGAGTTGGCGTTTGAGGATTTTATGCAGAAGGAAAAATCTTACTTCTAAACCTAACCAAATTACAGCATTAGTGAACAAGGACTTTATTTTCATCAAAGATAGCATTTATTTAAACCAATAAAGTACATAGGGTAGCCTTACCATACAAATGTAACACAAATTAATACTATGATCCGAAGAAGGAAGAATACATTCTGGAAACATTAGCCAACATCCAAGATTATCAGGTCTTTAGTCTTCTCCACTTTTCTGAGTGTAATTACAAGACCCCGAAAGGAGAAATGCAAATGAACTCTCTGAATCATCGAATGGTGGTCGAGGGAACTCATGAAGCCCACCAAAATTACATGTGTCGAAGTTCAATGGTGAGAAAAAAGCAGCAGGATCATCGATGCTCCCTTTAAAATCCACACTAGTTTGAACAGCGTTTTCACTAGAAATATTAGACGAAAAGTCGAAATTCATGCTTCCAACCTTATTTGTGGCTTGATTGCCATCTCCTTGATCAGATGTCCCAGCGGATCCTTTAGTTTCATCTAAGGGAATTGCTGGAGTGTGACCTTGGAAAAGAGCAATATGCCCAAACAGCTTATCTTTCCGTGAAAACGTGGTGCCACAAGAACAAAGCCATTTATCTTTACCACAATGCTTCTCATGAGTTTTAAGATCAGCAATTACTGAGAATTTCTTGGTGTTGCATCTGCTGCAAATGTAGCTCTTGTCACAGTGGGTTCTCTTGTAATGGTTTTTGACGCATAAAATGGTTTTCAGAGGCTGAAACTTTTTGTGATCCTTGTTCCGCTTGCAACCAGCATAAGGGCAGGAATACCTCTTAATAAGAGTTGGTTCAGAGCTGGATTCTTTATTTGGTTTTGCCAGTGCTGCTGGTGTTTTGTACTCATCTCCATGACCTCTCATGTGCATTCGTAAATTTGCATCTCTCTTGAATCCTTTTCCACAAATAGTGCAGAAGTGAGTGTGGGGCGCAAGGATTTCTTCCTTTTCTAACTGCAATATCTCATAGGTGCCAGGTACAAGGTTTTCTCCTTCCTCAGCATCTTCCTCATCTTTCATTTCATGTTCCTCAAACAAATGATTCTGCTCATTTCCACTGTTACTACTAATATCAACAGTGTTTGGCGGCTCAGAGACCTTGCTTCCACCAGCATTTTGTGGCTGAACCCCACCATTCAGCCCTTGTCCAGAAGGGAAGACAACTCCACTAAACTGCCCAAACTGTCCATGTGATGGAGTGGCTGCAGAAAGTGTATGCTTAACAGATGGGAGAAGACTACCAGCAGTAGATATCAACTGAACTATAATTGAAGTGAGATCAGCAGTAATTAGCTGTTGTTGCTGAGCTACAAGTTCATCTGGTCGACCCAACACTTGGCCCCTCCTGCCAACAATTAAATGCACCAAATCTTGAAGCTGATGGATCTTCTGTTCAAGGAATGAGAGATTGTTTAGCATAGCACTTGGATCCCAATCTTGGACTTTACTGGCTTGAAGCGATTCATTACCAGGACCATTTTTAATTTGGTTATTGGGGTTACACGGCAGTAAAGGTTGAGTTTTAGAAGTTTGGTTGAATGCCTGGAAAGGAGGTTCAATCCTGGTGCTGTAATCTAAAATGGATCGATCCTCCCACTTCTGCTGATGTTGGGGATTGAAATTAGTAAAAGATGGGTGTTCAGGAACTTTCTTTTGTATTTCACCAGACAGCCTGTCTTTAAGATCCATTTTCAGGCCTTCTTATATATCAAGATCCACATACTAGTCAAAACCAGAGAACATCAAGGGATTAGAAAATATTCATCCAAATTCCAACAAATTTCAATATAAAAATTAAAAAAAGAAAAACAGCTCAAGCATCAAACCATAAGAAGAGATTCAATTTTTTTTTCTGATAAGAAACAAAAATCATTAAACCCCAAACCTAAAATTCCCATAACAATCAACTATGAGTAAAGACACAACTACGAGTAAAGACACTATTGTTTTGACCAGAACAATAATGTATTTTTCAGCATGATCATGCAAGGAACCAAGAACCAAACTTCACAGCCAAGTTTAGTCATGAAATCAAGCAACCTCTTTTCTTTTCCACCATTGAATTAACGAAAGCTGCCTTTTGCCTTTCCTATCCAAAGTCATAAAGAAACAAACGACTCATAAATTTGCAGAAAAAATAGAAACTGGTTTTGTCAATTGAAAGTCAAATCACCTCAATCATCCCAAAACTCTTCCTCAGATTGAACTAAAATCTCAGAACTCATTTAAACTATCAGAAAGAGCTTAACCCTTACAAATTTACACCAAACCAAAAATCCCATCTTTCTTTTTAACCCAACCTCATTTCAAAAGTAAGTAATTTCTAATGAATTTGTTAGGCCTGCATAGATAAGGCCCGCATAGATACCTTTCTCGGGATCAGAACCCAGCAACAAAAAAAAGAGTGAGCTTTTAACACAACTAAATTCTCTCTTTTGTTGTTTTTTTTCTTTTCAATCAAATTGGTAACTTGAACACCCAATATATCATACAAAATTTAATAGTAGCAGCCACGGCAACATTCGGCCAAAACCCAGATACAAAAATCTAATCTTTAGAGCAAACAAAGCTCAAAAATTGAAACTTTAGAGTAAAGGGTAATGAAAAAAGAAACTTACCAGATTCAAGATTGCTTAGATGCTATTTGTTTCAGGCTTCTAATGAGATAGAGAAAGTAAAAGGGAACTAAGGTCGACCCAGTCAATTTATCAGCAAAAGGCTCAGCTCAGCACAGCACAAGCACAGGCAGACAGGCTGTCCTAAGTGGAACAAAATACAAGTCAAAACGTCAATCAAGACCGTTGATTTCTTTTTACTTGGGGCCGTCTTTTTTTTTCTTTTAATCTGTGAAGTCCATCAAAATCAATGAGATCGATACAGAAATGATCAGAGCCGTTGGTGTGTAAAGGAGGTGGAGGCTAGAAGGGGACAAAAAACTCTGAAGTGTGAAAGGGGGAAGAAATGGGACCCACCCAACTACGATGATTCAGATTCTCTTTCTCAAATCTAAATGTTCGATGATGATGATGATCAGCAATTGATGAAACATTAACCATTTGACTTGGTTGTTTAGGCTCCTAAAACCCCTTTTTTTTTGTTAAAGGTGTTTCATTGGGCACAGAGAAGTGGAGGGAAGGCTACCATGAAGCTACACCATCGCCATATGCTCATATCCGAGGACTTCTTTCTTTTTTCTTTAATTGCTTCAGCAGTGCTCCACAGCCAGAGTTATATTTAGATAGTATAAAATATTAATGATTTATATATTTATATAATCTTTTACATCAAAATTATATATTATAATTTTAATAACATAAAAATATAATTTTTTTAAAAAATTTATTATGATGTTTTAAAATTTTAAATCATATTAATTTTATAATTTTTATTTATACCATTTTTGTTTCGTATTTTAAATTTTTAAAGTTATTCATAACGTATGACCAATGATTTTTTCATTATAATGTTGTATTGTTGAATTATGATAAAAAGTTATATTAAAATTCATCATTTATAAATATAAAATTCATATAAAACTTTGACGGATTTGATGTAATTTTAAATAATAATTAATCACCTGTTAGATTCGGCTACGTGTTCCATTTTTTTAATCATTTATTATTTTGAAAAATGTTAAAGAAAAGTCCCATTAACCACCACCTCCTCTACTTTTTCTTCGTTAAGAAATGCTCCAAATATTTTCGCTTGAGTGTCTATGACGATTATTAATATAGGTCGTAAAATCTCTTTTTAAAAATATTGGCCCTAGGGTTTAGCATTTTATGATAAAAAAATGAAATCTAAACTTCTTTTAAATTAAGAAGAAACGTGTTAAAATTAATTTTAAATGCTAATCGTTGTTTATGACACTTGTTAAATGAAATAAATCTTTCTTTGTATATAATTAAACTAAGATTGAAGCAATAGTTTATAATTTACACTTGTAAAACAACGTACAACCCAGCATTGCGAGGCAAAGAAACAAAAGGCAAGATAGTGACATAATTAATTCATTAATTAAAATTTTGGACAGATGCAAAAATGGTGGTCCAAAATGTAGACCCCAGCTCCCATCCATGCCATCTCTGGCTATGTAGGCTCATGATTTCACGTCAATCACATTTCATACTCATGCAGTGATGACGGAGAAGCTTGCTTGCTTGATGAGGTTTTTACATCTCATAATTTTTGAGTTGATGATCATGAATCCAAGCGAAGGCTAGGCACAAGCACAGGCTGCCCTAAGTGGAACAATATACAAGAAAAACCCGTCAATCAAGACCGTTGACTTCTTTCTTCTTGGGCCTGTCCCTTTTTTTTTTCTAATCTGTGAAGTCCAATAAAATCCATGAGATTAATGCAGAAATGATCAAAGCCGTTGGTGTGTAAAGGAGGGTGGAAGCAAGCAAAAGGCTCCCAAGTGTGAAAGGAAGAACGAATAGGACCCACACAACTACGATGATTCAGATTCTCTCTCTCTCTCTCTCTCTCTCAAATGTCAATGTTTGATGAATGATGCTCAACAACTGATGAAACATTAACCATTTGACTTGGTTTTTTAGGCTCCTAAAACTTTCTCTTTCTTTTTTTTTTTTTTAATTAAAAGCTGTTTCATTGGGGAGAAAAAAGTGGAGGGAACGCTACCAGGAAACCTGCAATTTTTTAATTCCAATGTTACAATTGTTGAATTATAATAAAAAAATTATTTCAAAATTCATCATTTATAAGAATAAAATTTACGTAAGCCTTTGATGGATCTAATGTAATTTTAAATAATGATTAATTACGTCTTAGACTCAACTTCTTGTTCCATTTTTTTTAATCATTTATTAATTTGAAATATGTTAAAAGAGAAGTCCCACTAACGACTTCCACTCTTTCTTCGTTAAGAAATGCTCCAAATATTTTTTGTCTATTTAGTATTCATGATGATTATTAATATAAGTGGTAAAATCTCTTTAAAAAAAATTGATAAAATCCAATCTTTTAAAAAAAAAACTCAACTCAACTTATTTTAACGATAATAACGGATCGAGTCGAAGTGAATTTTTGTTCACCTTGAATCCAACCCGATTCTAAACTCGATTTGATTTAATGATTTTTTTATTTTTTATACTCGAACTTAATTCGATTTTATATTATATAAAATCGTACTTGATTTAAACCTAACTCGAAATTAATATAATATTATTTTTAAATATAAATATTATTTTTAATATAAATATAAACTTAAATAAACATATATACATAAAATTAAATAATTAATTAAAAACTAATTATATATATCAAATCGAATTTGTCTAAAACCTGATCTTAATTTTTTTCTTATATTATCCAACTTGATCCAATACTTTATTTAAAAAAAAAAAATCGATCCTAATAGATAGGGTTGGATCGAAAATCCGTCAGATTCGATTTATATCGCCTTCCCTAATTTACCTCCGCTAAAATTGAATCAAATTATAATGATTTAAAAATAAAATCATTTTGTCACTCGATTTAATTTAATTTAATTTAAAATAAATTAAAATTCAAAACTATCTTATATTTGTAGTTTTTCCAACTCAAATTAATCTCATTTGAACTTATATAAAATCCAACATGACTCAAATTGATTTGAAATTTTATACAAATTGAATTCAAAATAATCCAAACATGCTTATATACTTAAAATTATAGTAAATTAACAATTATTTTTAGGTTAACTAACCAATGAAAAATAAGTTGAAAATAAATCACAGAAATATGCAAAAAGATTTAAAAACTAAAAATTTATTAACAAATAAAAAGATTTGGAAAGCAAGATAATTATCGAGGATATTTATATGCAAAATTTAAAATTAATATTTTATTCTTCTTAAATTTGGTAAAATTTGTGCATTAAATCATTTTTAAGTAAAATATTACATAATGTGAGTTTGTGAGAGTCATTTATTGATATAATATTAACAGATCATATTTGTAATTAATATATTTTCTCTTGTTGAATTAAGTAGCGGATTTAGCATTTTTTTTTTTGTATCCACTTGTAATATATAAAATATTGTCGATAGATTAATTAATTTTATCAATGGAAATGATGTTCAATAAAAAATTTTAAAAGTGCTTATAAGAATTTTTTTTCTTTAAATTTTTTTATTTTTCAATATTTAAAGTGTTTAAAATGTCCAAGAAAAATTTTTTCTTTAAATTTTCTTCTTTTCTATCAAACCACTTAGATCTACCATAGCTTGATTTGTCTTATAATTAATATATTAAAATAAAATGACCTATCATTTGATTTAACTTGACTTAAAAATAATTTGAAACTCGAAATTACCTTACACTTGTGGAGATAGATTTATTAATTTTATCAATGAAAATAATATTCAAGCAAAAATTTAAAAAGTGCTTATAAGAAAATTTCTTTTAAATTTTTTTTTATTTTTCAATATTTAAAGTGTTCAAAATGACCAAGAAAAATGTTTTCTTTAAATTTTCTTCTTTTCTACCAAGCCACTTAGATCTGCCCTTGCTTGATTTGTCTTATGATTAATATATTAAAGTAAAATGACCTGTCATTTGATTTAACTTTGACTTGAAAATAATTCAAAACTAAAAATTACCTTACATTTGTGGTGACTTAAACTCGAATTAATCCAATTTGAATTGAGATGAAATTGACATTATTTGAATTAACTTAAAATTTTTATTATATAAATTGATCTCAAAATGATTCAAACTCGTTATAACAAATATGTATAAATAACCATTACTAAACTTTAAAATAAAAATTTTAACTATCCTTAGTGTGTTCACATAAATACTTGTAGTCGGACTTAACTTTCTTAAACATTATTTCACATTAAATAATGTTGAATTACGTCTAGACAATTATGATTTTAAATTCTACAAGTAATGTTAAAATATTATCACGTATTAATTTAATTAATTTAAATTTTTTAATTTTCATAAAATATTTTATAACGTCTTTCAACATTCTAATTTTGCTAGTGAAATTTAAAATTTTTACCCAAGTTTTATAAAACTACATTGGACAAGCTATCCCTCTAGCCCATAAAAAAATCTTTATTCTTGAATTATAACTCCAATTTTTGAGTTTAAATTTACTACTAAATATACCATTTTATTTAGAATATCCTACAATAAAAAAATAAAATTAAAACTATAATTAACATATAGTTTGAAGTAATACTTGTTGTGGATTATTATTATCCTATTTAGCAATATCATATATAAACCACAGCAATTTTTTATAATTTAATATCTATAGAGACTTTATTAATGTTAAGTCATATGAATTTTATGAATTATTATTATCCTATTTATTTGGGTGGAAATTTAAATTTTGTAAGAATGTTTATAAAATTCACACATATCTATTTAGTAAATATGCTAATTTTTAATTTTCTTAATTAGAGCCTAATAAGTAAAGACTATGGAGACTTTCTTGGTTAAAGTAATATAACTTATAAGTATATAAAGCACATGAACATTTAGCAGAATAAAAATATATAAGACTTGGACAAAATTAGAAGTCTCTCTTGGAATCTTTAGATGAAGACAACGAAATTTACGAATAAAAGAGAATTACGTGCTCTTTTTATAGTCTAGTATTTTATGTGAAAAAAAATCAAATCCAAACTTCCTTTTTTTAATTAAAAAGAAACACGTTATAATTAATATTAAATTTTAACATATGTTTACAAATACTCTATAAATGAAATGAATCTCCCTTCATATATAATTAAACTAAGATTGAAGCAATACTTTATAATTTATACTTGTAAAAAACAATGTACAATCCAACATTGTGAGGCAAAGAAACTAAAGGCAAGATGGACAAAATTAATTATTAAAATTTTGGACAGTTGCAAAAATGTTGGTCCAAAATGTAGACCCCAACTGCCATCCATAATAGGTGAGTTGGTGCAGTTGCCTTTGTAGAAACTTCCCATTCATGCCATCTCTGGCTATGTAGGCTCATGATTTCACGTTAATCACATATGCATGCAGTGACAACGGAGAAGCTTGCTTGATTGATAATTTTTTACGTCCCATAATTTTTGAGTTGATGATCAAAAGGCTAAGCACAAGCACAGGCTGTCCTAAGTGGAACAAAATGCAAGTCAAACCCGTCAATTAAGCCCTTTGATTTCTTTCTTTTTGGGGCTGTCCTTTTTTTTTAATCTGTGAAATCCATCA